AAGTTACTAAGGACCCTCCTTTTCTTTGTCTCAAAACTGAATTTTTGCCAGCAGAGCAAATTACCATGTCAACGTGACTGCAATGTATTTTGTGTTGTGTGTTTTGTATTGTATTTAATTTACTATTTCTAGCTTTTAATCTTAATCTTTCAGTAAACCCACGAAACTTGAAAAAGTCGAATTTTCAAATTTGTCTCACGATACTAAACACTTGGTACTGTGAAACAATACCGGCGAACCTCTCACTCTGACTCTCTCTCTCGCTCGCTCGCTCTCTCTCTCTCTCTCTCTCTCTCTCGCTCCTTCTCTTCGTCTTTCCCTCACCTTCCCCCCCTCCAACGACATGCCAGACTACAGTCACCATTGGCGCCCGCCGCTCACCCATCGGTTAGCTTGGCCCGTGCGTGCTCAGCAGCGTAGTCCCGAGGTAGACGCCGTCCAGCGAAGAGCAGATTTGGAGATTCACAGCTTCCACGCCTACGCGCGAGCACGTCGAGCATTGGCAAATCTGCAGAGGACGGCAGAACACAAGGTGCGTCAGACGCTCTCAGGATACCAAAAGCACGTCAGTACTCGCGACAGTAGCAACAACTGGAAAGGGGGATCACGGCTTGTTCAGTTGTCGTTTTTGTTTTTGGCTGTTTTTCTAGTATTTTGTGGAAGAAAAGCGAACCTATAAAGACAACGCTGAGATTATAAGTTAATAATGAGATTTATGTAATGTATCACGTATGGTCTCTCTAAAACCATCAGGTTTTAACCATAACAAAAATCCCCTGTCCCAACATGATTAATATGACGTTCTGTACTTAATAATAATCGCTCTGCAGATATCTATTTTTTTCCCGTGCCCCCAGTATCTCGTGGACGGCATGGACTTTACTTCGGTTAACTGACGTGCACGCACACCAGTGGGGGCGTTTGTTTTGATGATGTCGCGACACATCATGACTCGAGTAGGCCCGGTAGCGGACGAGATTGCACAAGAGACTAATGAGAAAGAAAAATAATGCGAGACTTTGCATGGGATGTGCATGGGTATGTGAACCTAGCAGGTTGACTAAGCATCATATCAGACCCATAAATTCGCGAAACACGTAAATTGTTATGGTACCGAAAACATTTTTGTTTGTCAAAAGCACGTTAACTTAGTATTCGTTAGAATGTCATATCCTTGGATGTTTCAACTCGTGCAATTGGTTTTTATTCCGTTGAATATTTAATATAACTTAAATCAAGGTATTAATTCTTTTTCGGAGTAGGCTCAATTATGAAAGGGTATTTTACATTTTTAATAAAATCACACTGGAGAGACAGAGGTGCAAAATCCTTCCTTTAAAAGGCATGAAGGGTAAAGTGGCTTTCCAAAGGCACTAAAACTGCCAAAGGCACTAATTTGGTTATCGTTACCCCAAACCATGTCACAGTTTCAGAGCGCGCATCCTAGCGCTTCCGGTTTTCTATTCGCTGATGCGTGCTTTAGCTCTGATACCCCTATTTGCTCCCCCCACCTCCCCCCCTTTTCTCACTTCCAAGAAAGATTAAGGAAATCGACACCCGGCTTTTACAGTGGACGACATTGATTCCCCTCTATCTATCTCTGTCTCTCCTGTCAAGCAGACACGACACTACCTGGCCAACCGGCACTAAGGATCCTCCAAACACGCGACCCGCGATGATTTGCGGGCACAGACCGGCGCGGACCCCGGAGACACGTCATCCTCCATCCAAACATTCAGAACCAGATTGACGTGAGCAGTCCTGAGTGCACAAAATCTCATTTTTCTCGGAAAGAAATAATGATTTCGCCGTGACCAACGAAGTTTACGTCAGAACTCTTTTTTAACATATTTCTTTTCATTCTCTGAACAAAAAATGACTTTATGCTGGCAGGAAAATTTCGTTAGAGTACACAAAGTTTCTTTTCCAAACTCGTTTAATCCAACAACTGTACAAACAGTCCAACTTTTACAAGTAGTGTACAACAAAATGTATGACTGTTAAAAGAGTACAACATGATTATTCTACTTCTATGGCAGTAGAAAAACGCACCAAAAGTAGAACATTTTGTCACTGTGAAAAATATCCTCGTAAATTTACGACATTTGTTGTAATTTTGATTTACAAAATATGTCGTAAATTTACGGCAGCCCATTCTTGCTCGTCGCTCAATTCCAAGTCGATAGGGAGTGTTTGTAAATTTATAATCTCAAATTGTAATTTTATGACTTTTACCATGGAAAATGTTGTCGTAACCCTTACGAGAATTTTTCACAGTGGTTTCACTCTTGGAAAAGTGAGACTTAGAACATTGGATTCAGAGGACAACAGTTTTTCTACACCCAAAAAAGCGTGTTTGCGTATCGTATCGTGCGCAATATACTGGGTGGGTGTTGAGCTCCGTTTTTTTTCTGCCCATACTGTACCGAATTCATGCGGGCGGATGGGTTGTATACTCGCACGGGGTAGTAAGACGCCCTGGCGAGTGAGGGTAGGCAAGCCTGCCTGCACGTCTGAATCCGGCACAGTTAGCAGAGAGAGGTCACAAGGAGGTCACACTAGCGTTGGCGCTGGAGTCTGGTGCGCCCATGATTTTGAATTTGGTCCCCCCCTGCGAGCCGGAGTCACCCGGGAACACTTTCGATGCTGCCCGGAGTAATGTGGCCGCCCCGGAGGGGGTCACAGGCCCAGAGGACATCCGCCGGTGCGAACGAGTAAAGGTGCGGGTTGGCCAGCAAGACACCGACCCTCACGCGCTACCCGATTTAGATGGTTTGAAAGTCAGTGAAAAACTCCGAAATAACCTAAGCAGTAGAAAAAGTAACCAATTTGTGGCACTCGGTGTGTGTGTCATCCCGCTCTGGGACGAAACGCCACGACACGACACACGATGTTCGTCACGCCGCACTGAACGTGTTAACAAATAAAGAAAAAATCGTGCCTAGTTTTACACTTGACGTTGCATGCTCTGGAAAATCATGAGTCGTAAATTTAACAGTTTTCCGAATCCTATTGGAAAATGTTCGATGTTTTCGAAACAGGGCTCTTTTAGTTTAGCGGTAATAGCTTAAACTATAAAACTGAATAGGTGCATCAACCGTCAAACTAGTGCACGATTTCATTTTTTCTCTCAGTTAAAACCGTGTGATTTTTTAGTTTGACAGTTAAAAGAGTAAAACTTGTTGGCTTTTTAGTTACTCTGGAAACTCAAGCGTAGCACAGTACAACAGTTAAAAAAATGTGTGTTGTGTTATACTGCCGTTACAACTCGAAGACACTTCGTGTACTACAGTTATTGGTTGTCTAGGAGAGAGTCACACTCCGTAAACTGCAGCAGGGTACCCCATAAAAAAAATCAAGCCCTGGTTTCGGATCTTTGAGGAGAACACCATTGACATCCTAATGTGAAAAATGTTTTCGTAAATTTACGACTTAATTTGAAATTTTGTATTTACGAAATATGTTTATGACACCCGAATCTTTCTCGTCGATGAATTCCAAGTCGATACGTTGTGCTTGTAGTTTTACGAATTGAGACTTTACGACACGCTTCATGGCAAATTTTCTCGTATGACCTACACTACTATACTGTAAACTGGGTTGTGTCGTATGTTGCCAACATATTGGCGTTGTAAGACGCCAAGATTTGGCGTCTTCCTAAACGACGCCAAGATTTGGCGTCTTCCTAAACGACGCCAATACTTGGCGTCAAAAGGCACCAAAATTTTGAGTTCATCAGAGGACGCCGATATTTTTGCCTCATAAGACGCCAACCAATTTCCAGTATATTTTTCACGGTGGCCAAAATCGACTTTTGAAATTCAAGAAACTTTAGGAACGTCTAGGACTGTCTCGGACTGTCTAGGGTGGCGACGGTGCACCTTGCGCAGGCCACCGCTCTGTCACGCTAGATGGCGTGGGCTGTTGTAGTGTAACTGGTCAGTTGTGTTGTACAACTGAGGGTAGAGCCCTGGTCGAGGGGGCTCTCTGCTTTTTAGTCTTTTTGGCTTTTTCTTTTTAACCGTGTGTCAGACACAGGGTGTCCTGCACAAACAACTGTGGTAAACAATGTTTTTGACACTCATAAATTCAGTTTAAATATAAATTCATAAATTCAGTGCGGCCGCTAAAGACAATATACTCTGAAAACTCAACAGTGTGCATTGCACACTGTATATTCAGTGTGCATGGCATGCACACGTTATTTACAGTGTGCATGGCATGCACACGTTATTTACAGTGTGCATGGGCATGCACACGTTATATACAGTGTGCATTGCATGCACACGTTTCCACTATTTCCTTTGAGACGGATAAATTTGGAAAAATGATGACATTTTCAGTTTCCTCGTGAAAAGAGCTTTCAAACGAGCTACCATGTGATGGGGTTCAAATCGACCGGTACCAAAATTGCGAAAGTCTTCCGGATATTTTGGTAACGTTAACCAAGTGATGGTACCGGTCGATTTGAACCCTATCACATGGTAGCTCGTTTGGAAGCTCTTTTCACGGGGAAACTGAAAATGTCATCATTTTTCCAAATTTATCCGTCTCAAAGGAAATAGTGGAAACGTGTGCATGCAATGCACACTGTATATAACGTGTGCATGCCCATGCACACTGTAAATAACGTGTGCATGCCATGCACACTGTAAATAACGTGTGCATGCCATGCACACTGAATATACAGTGTGCAATGCACACTGTTGAGTTTTCAGAGTAGCACAGTGCTGCGGGTTTTCCTACCCAATCTGCCCGTAAGGCGCCGTAGCCCCTTGGGTACACTGTCAGAAAAAAACACAGCACGAACTGGTCAAGTCTTTGCCTGATCGCATTGTAGTGAGTAAGGTACAGTATTTTGAGGTACAAAGTACAGTATCCCTTAACATGGAGTCTTATGGGCACTACAGCAAAAAAGTACAACGATCATGTACCTCATCACTACATACCGTGCTTTTGCTGTACTTTGGTACAGTTTTTTTTGACAGTGTATGCAAACGTGCGACACTGGGGAGTATTAGCCGGTACACGCGTGGTATTACACATATTACTGCAGTACAATTAGCTTTGTAGTTAGAGTTGTGGTACAGTACGACACATTCGCAGAGAAAAACCGTCAAACTTGGTACCCAATCAATTTTCAGAGTAACCGTGAGGCGAATAACTGCATGACCAGTCACATCCCATAACATTCCCTTGTCCGCTTTTAGTGTAAACTCCGCTTGCCATCGGTCCCTCTACGCAATGCCATGGACTGACTACTTTCTACGAGCACCCTCTCCCTCTCTCTGTGTCTCTCTCACTCTGCCAGTCTCTCTCTCTCTCTCTCTCTCTCTCTCTCTCTCTCTCTCTGACCCTCCCCCCACCCTTTTTCTCTCCCTCCGTTCGCTACATTCTTCACAAATACGTCACTCGGCACAAGACGTGCACTGTTAAATTGGTTACTGTAAAGTTTTAAAACTTTTCGTCAACTATTAAAATAGTTCCGCTGAAGTTGTAAAACTTCAATAAGCACAACATGACGTCATCGGATTTGTGAGACAATTTGGCAACTTTACTTCAAAGGCACTGAATCGAAGCAGTTGCATACAAATGCGTAGATTGTCTGCATTAAAGAAAGTGGGCGTGGCCTTGTCCACATTTAAAGAAAGTGAACATAACCAATGTCGTAAAATGTTCCTTGCAAGTACGGTTGAAATTTGCCTAGTAGAGCTGAGGTTGTAAAAATACAATACTATATACAGTGCGCGCGCCTCGCCTACAAGTTCAATTTACCGCTGAATTCAAACAGCAGACGCCTAGTAAACTCAACTTGCACTTTAAGAAGACAGTGACTATCATACCCTGAACGCTCATTCTCATTATGGAAAAGTTTTGTCAATAAGTACAACCAGTCGTTCTGACCCTCTTCGCACCAACCTTTCCATTCTCAAACACGGCATACATATCTGTTTCTCTACTCTGGTACTAAAGGAAACTGCCAATCACGTCAGACGCAAACAGTTGACTTCGGCACTGGTTAGTAGCGCGCATAGCCATACTCCTCAGCGACGCATGCAAATATGTAATTTTTCAACTCTTGCAACTAATGGGGCAGATCATGTAGGTTATTCTGGGGGTGGAGGCTCCGGGTATTCAGGCGAGGCGGGGGGGGGGGGGCAAAAGCACAACCCCCAACCCTTATGATAACCAATCGGTTCAAGAGGCGTTATTCCGCACTAAATCTATGTACCGTAACTAGCTTGTCCCCGCCCCCAACTGATGGTGTAAGGTCGATAAACCTGTGTCTGGTGAAGGGGCGGCCGGCGGCAGTGCGGCGCGGGCCGAGGCGCCACCGTCCAGCCCCGTCCACACCTGGTAGGGGTGGGGGAGGGGGGTGGGGTGAGAGGAGCAGCGCTGGTGATGGGATGGCCAGGGCGGCACAGTAGCACGGCGCACCACCACTTGTCACCATCGTGAAGTCTACGACCATGTGCTCGCCGTAAGTATTTAGTGAAAGCCCACCCGAGAGCCCTGAAGCGATCCCAAATTATTATTTTTGTCGTGTGTTAACACAAATTTGTCTACCTCAACGAAAGCTTGTGTGGTATCTTGCGTACATTGTAGGGCGCCTTTTTTAATTTTGCGAATTGCAATGCACGCTTTCTCCTCCTTCCTTGGGTAGCTGCAAAATAAGCTGACTCAGTTGACAGCTGAAAACTCCTCCGTGCGCACACGGACGCAATGGGCATGCGGACGATTACTGAAACCGACACTGAGACGACTACGACCGGTTAGGACTTTCAAGTGTAGCTCGCATCACTACAATTATCATGAGCAACATTTTTAAATTCAATTTTCTTAAAAACCGCGGATATGATTGTTAGAAATGTGGTGGACGTCATCCAAAAGAAGTTTCTAGAATTATTCCGCGCTGAGGCTGAGAGGAGAGTGGCGGAGTCTTGAGTGTCGTTTCTTGTTTGTACTTAATAGTCCATGAAACCGAGGGGGCGACCACTTGGGCAATCATATGTACACCGGCATGGGAATCATCAGGATTAAAATCAATGGATATCAATTGAAATCACAAAAACCAAGCGGTAAATAACACCAATTTTTTTTATCCAATTAGTCGAAGTTCTGGGAATAACGTGTACACTTCAAAGGGAGCTCCCCCCGCATGAAACCAATAACCCTAAAACTGGCGGGTAGCTATTGCCATGTAGAGAACTCTAGTAAAAATTGTGCTCTGTCAATTCAAATGTGTACATTGTATACTTTAAATAAAGCGCACATGGGTGTGTACAAGAGTATGTATACATTTTTATAAAAGCGTTCATGGGCATGTATACATGCCATGTACACTCTATTAAAAGTAGACAATGTACATATTTGAAAGAGTGGGTGACGTGCGTGTGTGTACTATGAAGACAACGACAAGATTCTACAGACAAATTTCTATATAGATATCTATTTGTGTGATTATCCAGGTGTAACATGTGGTGGACCAGCGGACGATGCAGATCAGACGCGCGCCTCGACGGCAAGACGGTGGTCATTACAGGGGCCAACACAGGCATCGGCAAGGAGACGGTGCTGGACCTGGTGGGGAGGGGTAAGTGCGCCACGGTGAAAGAACTTGCGAGCAAAGTGATTCTATTTGCCGCCGTCCTAGACCTCCCACTGCAAAAGAGGCTCATTATGCTGTGTGTGCTGCATGCTGAGCTCCAGCCACGTTTTTCAGTGAAATGAAAATATAGTAATAGGCCTTGTCGGAGACTGTGAATACATAACGAGAACTTTCTGAAAATAGCCATGTCATCAGAGCACAGTAATGCAACTCCGAAATAATACTTTTTAACACTCGTTTATACAAGGGCGCCAAAATAAGAAGGAAGGGTGGTTACCACGCCTTTAGTTTAGACATATATGCTTTCGCTTTCCCATCCGCTTTTCCGTTTCGAAGCTTAAAGCAATACAACAATAGAGGATGTCCCACTACCACTGTCCCATCAAGCCCGTTCTACTTTTTATTATTACCGCCCGTAACGCATTTAAGCGTGTGGGCGGGTCACCTACTCCTACACGCTCTGCACGCTAAGGCGCCACAGCGAGCGATGGTAGGCAAGACCACCCGCAAGCACCTGCAAGCGGTACAGTATAACTCAAAATCGTACAGGGCCTGTGACATCATGTTTGTGAACGGTGGACTTTGGCTGAGGAGATCGTAAAGGCATGCTCATTTCAGCAGAGAACTTGCAAGACAACCCGCCTTCTCTGTCTGTTGTTGTTTTGTTTTTTTGTAAAATGGAATTCTGCTTTACAACAACCGTGTCCCGGGTGTTGCTACAGGTGCACGAGTAGTGATGGCCTGCCGAGACATGGAGAAGGCGAAGGCAGCCGCAGAGGACATCCGCGAGGCTCATAAGGGCAAGGATGGCGTTGGCACCGTGGAGGTGGTGCACTTAGACCTGTGCTCTCTCGCCTCAGTGCGCCGCTGCGCCAAGCAGCTCCTAGAGCAGGAGAAAAATATCGACATTCTCATCAACAACGCAGGTGAGCGTCATACAGGCTGTCCGAGGAGCGACATGTATACTATTTTTGTTGCGAATTTCCCGGAGGTTTTGCGGATCAAATTGTTTTCCTACCAACAGGCGGCTTTCTGATAGATGACTTGGGGGTAAATTTTCAATAATTTTGTAAATACTAAACATAAATACATTGTACTTTTACGAAGACATTTTTCCGTGGACATTTACAACAATGCCACAATGTTATTTCATTACCTTCCTTTTCTGGACCAACGGGACAACTTTGCTTATTTATGTGTTCTATCTATACCCTGTGTTAAAATGGATCCTGTGTACAATGTGTCCACGCTGCGCGCACGCTGCACGCAGCACGCCGCGTGCGAGCCGCGTGCGAACCGCGTGCGAGCCGCGTGCGCAGTTTGTGCACATCGCGTGCACGCCGTGGGCACACCACGTGCAAAGCACACCGCTTAGTTTCTTCTATGCGCAACGAACTTGCGCACGGGTTTGACACCTGCAACGACCACCGCCGAGGCTGTGTGCACTGCGTGCGCGCCGGTGCGAGTTCAAAACTATGAAATTTTTAGGCGTTTTTAGGTCTCCAAAGTAATACTTTTGTTACAGATTTGGATTCCTCTTAATCAAATTAAATCGGAAAAGTCAAAATGCTTACAGCCGATCAGCGTCGAAATGGTTAAAGTTATGTAACCCGTGTAAAAACCTGTGCACAATAAGTTCGTTGCGCACAGAAACGCTGCAGACGCTCTGTGTATGTGTACGCGGCGTGCACGCGATGTGCACAAAATGCGCACGCGGTGCGGACGCAGCGTGCACGCACTGAACATAGGATCTATTTTATCACGGGCTACGTTATTTAATGCACAAAGTTCAGATACTCAGTTGGGCTATCGCCCCCCCCCCCTTCCCACCACTCCTCTTAGATGTGCCGCCCCAAGTTTGTCGCGTTTTCCGTGACTTTTCTTTCGTCTTCCCTTGTCATTGTTATTGATTTGCATGATTATTAAGCCACTTCGGCAAGTAGTAATTACTACCAAATCCATACCAATCAATATTGGCGGTCCTAAACTACTTCTTAATAATGTAAGTAGGACGCTCGACGTCTCGCGAGGGTGAGGCCCCTCATTTGGAAATAATCTGAGGGGAGACACACACACAGAGGAAGAGCGGGTTTCGTGCAGGTGTCTATTGACTGTTTCACACAGTAAAAACGGCTGTCGTTTTAACAGTTTTGTGGGTTTGATTACAATACAGGTATAATGGCGTGCCCGCGAAAAGTGACGGAGGATGGCTTAGAGATGCAACTCGGTGTCAATCACATGGCGCACTTTCTTCTGACATGCCTACTACTGCCCAGGATCCGCGCGACTGGACACGCCCGAATCATCACGCTTTCCTCGCTGGTGCACTCCCGTGAGTTGTTCAAGTTGTAGTGGCTACAACACACCACCACTGGCCATCAGATTGCATGTAAAAGGATCATGGAGTTTTTGCACTTCCAGGTGCATTTTTTCCTAAACAATGACAAAGTGTATGAAAATTTATTCAATTTATTGTTTGGAACAAATTTGCATCCGGCCTGGATGTGAACAGAAACAATGCCGTTTCAAGAGCAAAATTGTGTCTTTACATTTAGAGTGTAGAGTGGTAGGGAATGCAGGAAGCTGTGCTGTGTCTGATAAAACTGAAAACAAATGTTGTCTTTTCTTTTGTGGCCATAGGTGGTGTGATTCATTTTGACGACTTGGCTGGGGAGAAGAGCTACGGTGCGAGTGATCGGTACTGCCAGAGCAAGCTCGCGAACGTCCTGTTCACCAAGGAACTCGCCGAGAGACTGAAAGGTAACTCTTATAACCACGATGTTTCCTACATAACATTGTTTTCTTTAAGCTCCCCACAACAAACTGACAAAACTCTTCTCTTTTTGCGAAATGTGCAAATGTTTACATGGTTTCTCAGAACAAATGTGCATCTGCGGATGTTCACAGCAGAAACCTTCGCATTTAATGAAAATATATTTTCCCTTTACATTTTAAGACTAGGACTTCGCACATTTCAAAAGCAAACGCATTGTGGATCGTTAGTGCATTTCGGAAGGCACTACACTCCACACTCCACAGGTTTCAAAAGGCACCAACGTTTCCGAACATTTTGCTCGGTTCTCATGGGTTTTTAAAACAAACCCTTTGTGTTGTCGTGCGACATCGCCATATCTCACAAGAAGTCTCACGCGACTGACTATAAAAACGCACGCAGAAGCCACATTCGTGATGCAATCTCCTCTATTTTTTTGCAGCGCACAACATCTCAGACGTTACCGTGTATGCGGTGCATCCTGGGGTTGTGGCCACGGAGCTCAGCCGGCACCTGGACAGCGGCGTGTTCCCGGGCGCGACCTTCTTCTGGGACAGGATTATGAAGCTGTGGATCAAAACCCCGGAGCAGGGAGCACAGACTACGATTCACTGCGCCGTGGATGAGGACGCAGGCTCAGAGACCGGGCTGTACTACGCGTAAGTCAACCAAAAGTTATCTGTTGTCCTTTGAGGATAATCCTTTTCCTTGACTTTTAACGATAATTTTTTTTCGAAATTTAATTAGAAATGAAAAGAAATCAGCCACAAAATTCCCTTAAAAGTGCCGATTAGTACTGAGAGACTTCTCCGTTACAGCGACTGCCGCCCAGTAACACCCGGCCACAGGGCCCAGAATGCCGATGTCGCCCGTCGTCTCTGGGAAGTCAGCGTGCAGATGACAGGACTCGGTGACTACGACCCCTTCACCGCGCCAAACACCACCTCTATCACCAACTTGTAGATCCCGAAGAACTTATTTAATACTTTCCAAATCTCTCATTAT